TCAATTCGACAGGATTCATGGGTGTCCAGCTCAGGTGGGACCCACTAACTCAGTTCGAGCTGGATGAAGCCTACTAAAGGCCCAATAGATGTTTTAGGAACATCGCAATCGAGGCCCACTTTCTCCGTCACGAAAAGGAAATGCTAGACAGGATAAGGAAATGCTAGAAGACATGATGGCTAAAAAGCTAAAATACCAAATTGGTCTAAATGGTGTCATCTCTTTATCATTTTTCGGTTAAAAATTTAACCTAAAAAAGTAACAAATTGGTGATAAATAAACCTTTTCAGTCACCAGGAGCATTTTTAAAGTAAGAAAATTAAGAGATATTTATATATACCCTTCAAATTTCTAATATTTTCTGATCTAACCAATCAAGTTTTTAAATTTGTAAAAAGAACTCTCTCCCTCCATTCCCACCATCTTTTCTCTCATCCTTCTTGTCATCTCCTTCATTCTTTTCTTTTCCCAATTGTTATCATTCTCTCTCCTTTCTTTCACATATACTCACTGTTAAGGAAATTAATTTTTTAATGATTGGAAGATGAAAGAGGAGTCGGAAGCAAGGAGGAAGGGAGAGTGCAATAAAAGAAGAGAAGAATGAGGTTAAGATTGTGATAGAATGTTTTAATTTTAGGTGTCGGGAGTGAGTGAAGCAAGTAGGAAGAGAGAGAGAGAAAGAAAGAGGAGAAGAAGGAAAAGGGAGTGGGAGAGAGGAGGAGATATTAGGGATTTGGAGTAAAAGAGATTGGAGGAGATGAAGGAGATTAGAAAGTAAGTGTAATAATCCATGAAATAAGGTAGGAGAGGGAGTGAGGGAGGAGGGAAGGTTAGAGTATAGAAAGAATCAGGGAATGGAGAACAGAGTGGGAAGAAGATATGTTGGAAAAAAAGGGGGGGGGGGGGGGGGGGTGTTACATAATTTCTTGAAATTTAGGGATAGAGGTGGTGTTAATTTAGGGAAGGTATTAGTTAGAGCGTTTGGTTTAGGGTCAAATGTCGGCCGGTGTCATTTTTAGGCCAAAGGTGGGCAGAAAGATGTGAAGTGATGTTACTGGAGTTGTAGGCCAATGTGGTGGTATTTACCTGGTGCTTAGAAAATAGTTGGAAAGGATTGGCTCAACGACCCACCATGTTGCAGGTCTTGCTGGTAGGCACTGTGTGCTCATGTATGGTAAGTTAGGCGACCCCAAAGTCGGATGAGATCGAAAGTAAAATAATGGAGAAAGGAAGGAGAATTGGGGAGACAATTAACGGTCAGTTGGGGATAGCGTAAAGGTTGGCCCCAGTAAGGTTCGACCCCTACCAACCATGTATAGGAATTTTGAGCGGAATGAAGGGAAGGAGAATGGCTTGTAGACTCCATCATCTCGTATGTGATTCTTTAGCTTTGAAGTCTCTGAAATTCATCCTTATGAAATGAAGATAATGAACGCAAATGTCTATATAATAGTTGGAAAAGTTCTAATTAGGGGATTTATATTAATTAACCTAAGAAAGGGATATAGGTGATATAGGTAGAAAAGAAAGAAATCTTGAACTCTCAAGTTTCAAAATCAGGTTTAGTGTTACGAAAGTAAGGAATCTGTAAATAGAAATGTTGTACATGTCAGTCTGGTCAGCGGTAAATGTGGAATCTAGCTGCAAGTTTGTCAGAATTTAGGTAGTGAATCAACTGTAGCGAGATTTTTATTGGTGAGCGATTGGCGATTCAAATAGTTAGCGATATCGGAGTTTGAAATGCCAACGAAGAAGGACATATGGCCATGGTAGGCCGTCCGAACGTACCCTCATTCTAATGGTGTCCAAGGACACTCAGGTGAGGTCTTTCTGTTCCGGGTTACGTCCGGGTGAGCTAGCTCGCCATGTATGGCAGGCGGGAGGTCTCGCCAAGACAATGTTAAGGTGGGCGTTAGTGGAACGCATGGGCAACTTTGAATAGAAGATGGAGAGCATTGTCGGTGGTGGGTGTAGATGTTTGTGGGATAGGGTGGATGAATTTTTAGTACGTGTTCACTTATGATGTTGCTTCCTTGGAACGAAGTGATTGATTGGGATTGGGTTCAGTTAAGGTGTGAGGTTATTGGACAGAGTGAGATGGGGACGGATGTAAGCCGTCGACTTTGTCGGCGCTGAATCTATCGTCACGTGCTATACCAAACAGGTTTTGTCATATTAACTTGAAAAGAATATTATCTACAGGTTCTGTGTCTTTAGGAGATCGATTGAGAAAGTATGGATAATTTTGAAACACGTAATGTTACGTGAAAATGATCTATATATGTAGTAATTGGTAGTATAAGTAGTAAATATAGTTTTATTGATATTATAGTTATAAAGAGTGTCTTATTATAAAGGTAAGATAATAAGAATGATTATAGTAATAGTATCGGTAAATATAACATATATTATATGATGCTCTATTAACATATGGTTTAAATATTTTGTATATTTATAAATTAGATATTATGATTATTCATGATAGTACTTTGATATTATTAGTATATACTTTTATAGTTAAATAAATTTTGATGGTCGAATTATTGTTGATGATATAAAATATTGTATTAATATAGTGTTTATATATTTAAATATAATATATATTAATTATAATTATAATATGATTTATTATATACATAATTTTACTTTTTCTATTATATTTTATATATAATTATAGTCTTAAAATATATTGTCAATATTTTTGGTAGTTATAAGTATGTAAATATATATTTTATATCTACAATAAAAATGATAATAAATTCTATATATTAAGTAAATAATACATATTAAGATTAGATATAGTATATTGTATTATTTAATTAATAATTTAAATTAGTTAATATATTGGAAGCATTTAATAGTATATTATGTTATTATAGAATATTATACTTTAATAAGAGAGACAATGCTGATTAATTATTGCTAATTGTAAATAATAGTAATTATCAATAAAAAAAAAATAACAATATAAAGTTTTAATAATGATTAATATTTAAATAATTTATATTTAATTAAACCAAATCTTATATTATTTGATTTAAATAGTTATATCATTGAAATATTATAATAACATATATTGTTGTATATTTATATGCAATTATTATTATAATAATCATATTATTATAACATATTATATTATATTAATAATGAATATTAAATATAGATGAATGTAATTAGTATGTATAATATAGATCATATATATGGTTGTTTAAATATAGAATTAAAATAATGTATTATAGGTTATGAAACATACCAAATATATATGCTAAAGCAATAGGTAAACTTCGATATTTAGTCTTATTGATAGATAATATATACTTAAAATTAGAGGTATCAAAGTCATAATTATGCCCACATAATAAAGTCAAATGCAAAGCTTGCAAAATTGTTCCTTATCCTAATTAACTCCCACCTTTTGCACCAATTCAAAATTGAGTCCCTAAAGGAAGTAAAATTTTTTCATAGAACATTATCCACTTAGCGCACAACTGTCGCAACGCAATAACCCTCTCGGAACAAGAGGAAAAGAAGTTTTACTAATTAGCACGATGGCACTGGTGCGAAAAAAAGAGAGACTCAATTGAATTCTTGGCACGTGTAAAGTAGAGGTTTGAATTAGAGACTAATAACACAGTGAGGTCAAAAAGATTATCAACATGGCCTCGCTGTAACCGTCTATTAAAATAATAGTTATTTTTACAAATCAAGGTACGTAATTGTCACACACAAAAGTCATAAGACTATACTTTGTTTTATCATTAGATTAATAGAGAACACATCACGACTGAGCGTTAGATGGTATGCGAGGAGGGAACAATCTCGTGATGTCTCTAACCTTTGTTACTTAATGGTATTTTTTTGTGAGTAGGCAGACCAATATTCTCAACTGAAAATAACATCAGAGACGATTCATGGAACGCAAAAACAAAGTTGTAACTCCCAATCGACATAGCACAACATCTGATGTAAACAACGCGGAAGTCCATTTACATATTCAAGCAAGCTTATACATCTTAAAGAACAGAAAACAACATACATAATTCAAATTAAGGTAATACGTTATTTGGCTAGTTGAGTTAATATTATGTTTTTGGTACAGCGCAAAACAGTTGGAAGGAGCTCTGTTCGTCTGGCGCAATGAGGACGTTATGGTAATACTTTCATCCGTCGGCGGTCGAGCAGCCTATGGTGCCAGCTGTTAAGTGGCGGTGTTTGTTCACCAGAAAATATTGGGCATTTGTACGGATTATAAGTTTTGAATGGTCAAAAAATAAAGTGGTTGTTTTTTTGTTTTGGTAAATTTGACCGATGTCCTATAATGGTGTTATTTTGAAGAAATTTTTAGAATTATTGAATCCAAAAGGCAAAAAGTGCTCAATTTTAGAATTTGTCAGAATCCTTCATTGGTAGAGGATTTCGATAAAAGTTACATTAAGAGTGGTGTGGCTACTGCTCATTGAGAGAGGTTGACAAATTCCCATTGTCTTTTTGTGGAGGTATGACCTGCACCAAGAATTAGCAATATTCATCGATATAGTCAAATGTGGCATGTTGGTACATGACAATTTGAGTTTGAAACAAAATAAAAATATTAATAGATCAATTATAGTATTCGCACATCAAAATATTTAATAAAACAAATAAGTATTTAGGAAAATCCAACTCATAACAAAAACACATATGATTTCAAATACACATGGGAAATTCATATGCCTAAAATTATAGGTTTAAACAAAACCCCTTAAAGTACTATGATTTAACAGGAATAAACGCATTACGAGTTTTAGATATCTATACAAAAGGAATGCTCTAACAGGAAATCCTAAGATTGATAGAGGTCGTTAATTGAACTTAAAACTAGTTTGACAAACAAAACTCCCACGAGAAGCTTGTTTCCA